AGGCGGCTAGTGGCCAGAAGCTTTTAAACCCCTAACCCCCCGAGGCCGGTAAAGACGGTACCATAGGAAACCTCAAATTGTTCAATATTTCTAACCGGAGTTTGCAGGCAGACCGAACAAAACCGTTGGCATACACGTCATGGGATGCGGTGGGAACCCATGGCCACCAAAAGTAGCCCACCTCATTACGGACGCAGTTAGCACTCGTGAGGCCAATAGCAGAATCACAAACCTAGAAGAAATATGCCGGAAATTTATTGACCATCCGCCTTGGACATGCTGATCACGAGGGATTTTGGCGTCCATCTGGTCGGCCACGGGGACACCCTGTCTGTCAAACCGCGGCAAAGGAACCGATGGACGCGCGTCCTTCTGGAACCCTGCAACCTCAACAAATCCAATCGTCAAAAATGTGGTATTGCGCGAAATTTATGTTGTAGCCATTGAACTTTTAAAAAACAAGTGCGGAAAATTGATCTCCGTACGATAAAGACCCAGATCAATAAGCTTGTCGGAGAGATTTGGGCGAAAAGTTCCTGCCGACGAATGACAGTTCTGGGAAACAATAAAATAGGAAGTAAAACAGACAACGGGAGTCTCTTCTTGGCAATCAACGATTACTCAGTGACCCATCAGGAGCAATTGAAGGAGACCCGCACGTCCCGCGCCACCACACACTCGAGTATTACGGGATTCGAGGGAAAATCTTACACGGTATCAAGTTGTTCCTATCAGACAGATCTTTCCGAATGAAGGTAGGCCCCACCTACTCTTCTCCACTGGAATTACTCAAGGCTCCGTTTTGGGACCACTGCTGTTTCTGATCTACATCAGCGCCCTTTCAGACGTCTCTTCGAGTCCATGTCTACTTTTTGCGGGGAACTTTATTGGGCATTTTTACTCATTTCTGGTATTCGCCTTGTGGAGCGACCTTCCTCCAACGGTTGTTCGCGCCACAGCTAGAACCAAGTAAAACCACTTTTAGGCACATTCTTAGTTGATTTTCCGCGTTGGCAAGATTTACTTTCCTGATCTGGTGTCTTCTAGAGCAGTCCTGCATTCCTTTTTCACTTACAACTTTCAGGTGAATCGAGTTGCCTGATCGGGAAGAACGTACTTCACCTGACAAGCCTGGATGGAATCTTCAATCTTGTTATCAGTGAGTGAATCACCGAATCCTCGCGAGAGCTGCTGGATTTATTCGTTTCTACCTCCTTGACTTTCTGTGTTATTCACGAGAAGGAAACAACTGTCACGCCAATCTATAAAACTGGCGACCGACTATTGCCTAGCATCTTCAGGTCTTTAGGCCTCAATAGCGTGCCGTGCAAGGTGATGGAACGCATTCTGAAGCGAGCTATTTTAGCTCACCTTACTTCCAGCAACCTGATATCTCCAGATCAACACGGATTTCTCCCACACCGCGTTTGCGTGACAAACATGCTCGTGTTTATGGACAGCCTAACCCAAGCCAAGGACGAAGGACTCATATCGGATGCCATATTTTTCGACTTCTCAAAAGTATTTGATAGGGTCCCATGCGTCTCACTGCTCCACAACCTCGAGTCTTACGGGATTCATGGGAAAATCCTTCACTGGATCAAGGCGTTCCTATCAGGCAGATCATTCCGAGTGAGAATAGGCTCGACCTACTCTTCTCCAGCGCCGGTCTCTACTGTAGTTCCTCAAGGCTCCGTCCTGAGACCACTGCTGATTCTGAAACACGTCAATGACCTCCAAGATGTTCTCGCAAGTCCATGTCTACTTTTTGCGGACGACTTGAAATCCTGAGGTTCCAATGCCAGTGCCCTCCAAATGGATGTAGACGCTGCAAAGCAGCGGTCGTTGGACTGACACCTTCCTCTGAATGACGAAAAGTGCGTCCATATGTCATTCTGAGGAGACTCAGCGAATGCCCTTGTGATGCATAATGAGAAAGCACCAGAAAACATTACGCTTATCCTTCTCACTCCACCACGAGAAATCGGCCCAAAAGGCATTCGCCATTTTACGGATGATCCGATGCACTCCCATGGACTTTCAAATACTCTATGGGGCCTACGTCAGACCGCTCCTGGAATACGCCAATCAAATTGTCTACTCAGGACGCACGGAAGACGTTACGCTCATCGAGCGTGTCCAGCAAGCCGCTACGAGAATTGTGGCCGGTCTCAAATCCGTGGACTACGAAACGCGCCTTGCGATACTTGATCTCTTTCCCCTGGGGTACCGTCGTCTCCGGGGGGACCTAATTCTTACTTATGCTCTGTTTGAACAATGCTTGGCCGACGGGTTTTTCACGGTTGACACAGCAATCACACGGGAGTACATGGTAAGCAGATTTTCAGACTCAGAGCTTGAATTTGTTTGTTGCACCAATTTGGCACTCTAAAGTCGATGCAAAAGTGGGCGGTCTTTTCGGTCTTTTTATGTGTCGTTGAACGATGTTGCATTCTCACAGTTCTCTTGCGACGGATTAACGCAAGACACTTCTTGGCAGGAAACGGCACATTTTTGTACCTATAACCTTGTTCCGTTTTTCGAAGCCGCTGACATGGCGTGCAGAGGTTGTGGAAATTCTGTGCGACTGTCGTGTATGCTTTTTCTGGTTGCTGCGTATTTCCTTGTTGAGTTGATCGTAGGCTACGTCATCAAATCAGTGGCACTCGTCGCGGACGCATTTCATATGCTTTCAGACTTAATCGCACTTATAATTGGTATAATAGCAACACGCATTGCAAAGTGGCCAAGTTCCTCTAAAAATACTTTTGGATGGCAGCGAGCCGAGGTAATGGGCGGCCTGATTAACACTGTGATGTTATCAACTTTCTGTATCTCAATCTTGATGGAGGCTATTCAGAGGTTTGTCAAACCAGAACTTATCGACAGTCCCCGTCTCATGATCTATGTTGGAGCTGGTGGGCTTCTTGTGAACATTCTCGGTCTCATTGTCCTTGGCACACATTCGCACGACAACCATAGTGGAACTATTGAAGTCATGGATC